TTATAAAAATAATAATTTTTTCTCAAAATAAACCTTAAGTTTATAAACTATTTGAGGAAATCAAAATCGCTCTTAGAGCCACCAACTTAAATAGATTATGGGTGATGTTAATCTACTATTAAATGTGGGGATGTCTTGTTCTCATTTTTTTCCTCTACATGAGTTTTTATTTTTTGAATATAAATTAATCATGCTTAAAGATATTATTATGCAGAAAAGTATAAGAAAAAAATATAAACTAGCAGAAATTGCCACCTTCAAAATAATCCGTAAACCCTATTAACTTAAGGTGACTACCCCTTTCTGCCATCTCCCTAAGCATAACACACAGAGAGAGGTATATTTTAAACATGGCCAAGTCTGTGATAGTCAGTGTTTTAACTTAAAAATCTAGCACCACCACTTCCTTCTATTATAATTTTTCATAAGTAAAACTGGAATCCTATATAATAAAAGGCTAATATGCAAATTGTCCCCTTGACTGAGTTTGACCAGGAATTTGACCAGGGGGCAGGGCCAGATGGCCAACTGCCCACAGCCTCTCCTCCCAGCCAGCTCCACCCCCGATTGGCCTCCCACCCCAATCAGGGGTGGGGCCAGCCAGCCAACCTCCCACGTCCCCTCCCTCTGGCTGGCCAGCCTGATTGGCACGGCACCGATCCAGGTGGGCCTGCCAGACCCCACCCATGCATGAATTTCTGCACCAGGCCTCTAGTAGTTACATAACGGTCCTTCATGCAATTTTCCTCTTCTGTCTGTTTTATTTCTAACTTTTCATGATAATAAATAATACTTCAATGAGTATTTTATACTGAAAGCTTTCACACTTCTACTTCAAAAATTCCAATCTATTACCCTATTCCTTTTGTGATTTCTTCTATTGGTTTTAGGAAGAGAAATACTTTCCCATCCAAAGATCAGAAGTTTTGTTGTTATTGTTCCTGTTTTTTAATTTGTCTCCTTAATCTATGGACTCTATGTTAATACATAAGATTCCAAACTTATCTGTCATGTGTTTAAGTTTTAGCCAAATGTAGGTTATTTGCCCAACATTTTCAAATGCACACTTATGTTTTTAAAGGAAATGCATGCCTCATATTCTTGGCTTTCGACTAAACCTCAGGACTGACCAGAGCTTTGATTATCAGCAGGAAGTCATACTGGGAGGAATGAAGAGGCATCACACAGGCCAAATTCAAGCTAAACAATCAGAAGGTCCAAGTCCCTGGCCTCAGTGTTTTATTGTTGTAGCCGTAAGAAGTCTCAAGAGTTCCAAGGTCAGTTTATGTCGTTGAAAGACAGTTTTCAATGCTGTGGGCTTATTCGCCAGTATGGACTGGTCACTATGGGTCTCATTTACTGACCACGGGAAAACTCTATGTCCTGCCTTAGGTCACCACATTCTTGCCATTGGTTATGAGCAGAACAGTTGAGAAAGCAGAACACAAGCTCACCCCCAACCCAGTAGAAAAGGGACACAAAGGACATGCCTTACCGGTTGTCAGTGGGTCAACAGAAACATCTTTGAGTGTGAGGAGCAGCACAGATGTCAGTATGTACATGGCTGCTTCTCATTAATAATAAATACTTCTTTGTCAGACTTTTTTTCCTACCGCAGCACCCCCTCCCCCACCATCCCTCCAAGGCACAATCCTGTTACTGCTGCTTGCTAGTTGCTATGACTTGAGACAAATTACATAACTTCTCTGGGACAGTTTCCACAATGAGAAAATGGGGCTAATAAAGACAATTGGCCTCTTAGGGTTGTTGTGAGGATTAAATAAGATGCTTAGGACAGTACTGCCCTTGGGAAATGTTTTTTGAGAGCTAGTTATTATTATTATTATTACCCTTACCACTGCCTCTACTACTCCTGCCATGATTGCTGTTACCATCACCCCCACAAATGCCAGAAGGTGAAACTGAAATTGGGCTCTTCAGCATGAAAGAGGGAACTTGGAAGGTCTCTGGTCAGATCAGTCCTAGACTAAAATCTGTCCTCAGCCTTTGCAAGCCCACTGAGAAGTTAGTATTTACTGCCATTACTGAAATAGTGAATTTCTGGGGTGGATGGCATCACAATCTCTCCCACTTTCTGATACGAAAGCACAAGACCCATGCAAACTGGCACCTTCGATGAGCGTGGTTAAGAGCAAGAACCAGGGCTGGGGGGTAGGGGGGTGGGGGGCTAGGCAAGAAAAAGGTGGAGGTGGCACTGTTCATCGTAGCCTCTACATGAATCTCACACGGTAGAAACTGCAGTTCAGGAGCTGACACCTCCCAAAAGATACAGAGTGAAGATCAAGACCGTGGGCAGGAACGAGAGTAATCTGGGGTGTGTGGGTAGGTGAAAACTTCACAAGGTTCAGCAGTCAGAAAAACCACCTCTGATACCACAATTACTCCTACTTATTCATTCCTTTTTTAGAGCGCCATTCAAGTTTCCCAGGGTTTTGAGTCTGGGACAATTCATGTCAAAATAGTTTACCTAAGGATGTATCTCCAACTTCAAAACTCAGGTTCATTTTAAAAGGAAATGAGGCTCACATGCTTCTGGATCATCGGCGAGGTGCATAGGCCTCTGGACATCAATCAGACATCCAGAGGACTTTAAATATCAACAAGAAAGAGATCAACCAAAGGACTTGTATGCATGTATATAAGCCTAACCAATGGACACAGACAACAGGGAGGTGAGGGTATGAGTAATGAGTGGGGGCGGGGGGGGGTAGGGGGGCAATGGGGGGATAAGGACACATATGTAATACCTTAATCAATAAAGAAAAAGAAAGTGTGTTTATCCAACTCAGTTAATCAACTGAAAGCTCAACTTAAAATGAGAGAAAATGCCCGTATCTATTTATTTTTTGCCAAAAGAAGAAATGTAACAAAAGGAAACCAGTCTGGCAAGATGAGAACAAGAATTGAAATGTGTGTTTCAGGCCTAGAATCAGGAATAAGATTTGCTTAGCTATATTATCCCAAAATTATAGATTTTGAACACTCTCTAGTCTTTTTTTCCTCCCCATGTTTGGAAGAAACTTATTTTAATGAATATTCTTTGGGAAAAAACCCTAAAACCTGTCTTTTAGGGAGTTTCCCCTCTTATTCTATCCTTTGCCTCATTGTTTATTTCTGTTTCTAATCAGAAATGAAGCAATTTCTGCAAACACAGGAACTGAAACCTACCAGACATAAATGAGCTTTTTAAGACTTTTATCCATGTAAGAGAAGCACAAACAAATAATCAATAAGTAAAATGTCTCAACATTGTTCTTTTAAAATCACTGGGTAGCTACAATCAGATTGACAAAAGTCTCCCTTTAAAATTTAAATTAAAAACTGATGAACAAAATAGAATCAGAGACATGGATACATGGTACAGACTGACAGATGTCAGAGGGGAGGTGGGTGTGTGTGTGTGTGTGAGGGGGGGGCGGGGGGGTGGTGAGATGAAAGAAAGTGGAAAGACTAGCCAAAGAACATATATGCATAGCCCATGGACACATACAGCAATGTGATGAGGTCCAGAAGGAGGGGAGAGAGGGCCAAGGGGGAGGAATGGGGGACATCTGTAATAGTGTCAACAACAAAAATAAAATATAATTTAAAAAATTTAAATTAATAGCATTTAATAATTAATAATAGTACATACGTGCTACAATAGCATAATTAAGCAAGCCATAGCAATCTTTGCTTTTTTTTGGAAATCTACTAAAAACCGAGTATTTTTGCTGTTAGAGAAAGTACCTGCAGAGGCAGGGCTATAATATGGCTGCCCGGTTGTGTCTTAGGGTATAAAGTACAATCAGTTTTGTAATCCTGAAGTGGCATGCAGCCATCACTTTTACAACTTCAGCCTCAGCAGAAATGGTAACTGGGATACTTAAAACGTAGCAAATCATCTCCAAGATGTTTTTTAATTACTTATTTCTGTCTCCCTTCTCCCTCAATGTTACTTTTTTAAAGAGTTGAAGATGGAGAACGGGACCCTGTCTGAAACACTGTATTTCCCGGCAAGGAGGGGCCGGGGGCAGGGGGAGGGGGAGAAGACTGAAATGGCAATAACAGAAGCAGAGCAGCATATTTGAAAACATTAGTGCATTATCTGGAACGAAAGCGCACGTAAAATAACAGAAAATCAAGTGTATTTCAAAAAGTGTTGTAAACTTTAAAATACCCAGCTGAACGCCTCTTATAGAACAACTTCATGCTGGGTTGCTTTGGTGACAAATTCACAAAAGTGAAATTGCTCTCTGGGTCTTTAAGTGAATACAATTCAGGAAAATGTTCTCATGATACCTAGTTGTGTTGACTTAATTTAGTTGTGTTACTGTCAGCAATACATTTGCATCTTACAAGGCACATTCTATCCTTAGTCATATTTACTCCAAGAGCAAACCTCAGATTCTGCAGACTCACAAGCAGTGACAATCGAGGAAGGAATTCAGCCCAGCTTAGTCCACCTGTACACTCCTACACCCATTGTTAGGTATTTTACGAGGCATTCCAGAAAAAATGCCAGACTTTCCAAAGATATCTGGTTCATTGTAACTATCAGGAATAGGCCCTGGGGAAAACCACACACCAGGCAGGCACTCGAGTGGGAGGGACAACACCGCTAGCGGGAGCACAACACCTGACGCTCAAACATAAAATACAATCAGCCGTGTAGACCATCGTAGCTATGCCCAGAAGATTTAATGGGGAGGGCACCAAAAGAGTAATTCTGGAAAAGGAACTGAAAATGCTTACAAATAAGTACACATCTCGGAGCCTGCAAATCCAACACTCATTGGTCATGTCTTCCTGGATTCGGCTGCATTCAAGAGAGTCAAACAATGCTTATACTATCAGGAGACTCATAACCCCCAACCCCCTGTTCTGTTCTAAAGGAACACAACAACAGCACAAACACTACGCTGTCATCTCATCACCCAGTGAGCGTGGAGAGCAAGTCTGACAGATGCCACACAAAGTTCAAAATGTTACGTACTAACCTGGTGCCCCTGTGAAAACGGTCGCTTCATGTTGCTTTAAAGAAAGAATCCTTGCTAGGAAACTAATCTCCAAAGCAGCTGATAGCCAAGAGGTGGGGGGGAAACACTGACAGCCCAGGGAATCCACACACAGGGAAAGCAGACTGCTCCCAGTTTTCAGCCGCCTCCCTAAAGGCAACTTAAGTCAAAGCCAAGCCCACAGAGCACTTTAGCCTATAAGCTTCAGTAATGAACTCGAAACCACACCCCATATGTTAACTAGACACTGGGCTGCTGTGAGAAATAAAATCCACAGGCAGACTGAGCTGAGGCTTCAGGCTTCGTGTTTGTGCCTGCTGTCGGAGAAAGCTAGAACACAAAAAACTTAACACAAAGAGAATTCACACCCTCCCCCCTTCAGACACTGCACAAAAGTGACTCATTTATTTTAAACAAGAGCAATACAGTCTGCCCTCCACGAAGGCCATGAAATGAGTTTTACATGGTTATCCAAGTTGGGTGGTGGTGGTGGGAAACATAAACACTACAATTGCACATTGCATAAGAGGACACATGGAGTTACTGTTTCCGAGTCTCAGAGTCACACATCATCCGGATTTTCAGGTTTGTGGGGTTTTTTGTGGGGTTTTTTTGTTTGTTTTTTTTTGGGGGGGGGGGATCACATTAAAAAGGTCTAAAACCTCATTAACCACTCAAGTCTAAAGTTCAAGAGGAAAATGAATCAAAGAACCTGAAAATTCACTCCTAATTCAGTCTCACCATCTGCATTTAGGTTATATGTATATGGTAACAAAAGAAATTTTTTTTTGTAGTTTTGGAGCTTTTTATAATTTAAAATGGAACTTACTAAGACTCACTGTCGTTTCAAAGTATGGAATTTAAATTTATTTTTCATTCTAGGAAAAGGTAACTGATAATTTTTTTAAGGCATTTATATCTTAAAAGTCAATAATGTTTCAGCATAATGCTTACAAAAGAATAAGAAATGCTCTGCTTTTGAACATAATGTGTCTACAATACACACAATTTTCCCCTAGTTTTAACTCCAAAAAGAGCCTCAATTTTAATAGATCGGTTTCTCTTCTATTTAAATAAGAGCTATATAATATAGTGGTCAAAGTTACCTGACTTTATTGTTTCTTTTAAGCCATAAGACTGAACCAAATATTCAAAGAAAAACTTGATTCACTGTTGTCAAGTAGATTTACATGTGTTTCTGCTAAAATTCAAGTTACTCAAAACCTATGAAACATAAGTCATTAGCGTATTAGCTCAACAAGATCAGGAAAAACCCAGAGACTCCCTCACACCTTAGACTTTCTGCCTTCCACCCACACCTGGGTCTTGGCTCAACATTTTTTCATGGGGTCACTTTAGATTAGTGGTTCCCAACCTTTTTTTAGCCATGCCCCACCTAAGCATCTCTAAAATCCTGATGCTCCCCCCCCCCATGACATATAATTCTTATTATTCAAAAAGTGAACTCCTATTCATGTGGAGGAAGCCTAAAAGGTCATTAACTTGGTCTAAACAAGCTTCCAAAGAACATGGCATCCATGAAAGAGAAAAATAAAAGAATGAAAGGACAGGTGAAGTACTGAGGAAGAAATCACTAAGAAATTGTTTAAAAAAATAATACTAATATGAAGTTATATGAAAAATAGCAAGTAATGTTTCAAAACATATAATAGAGAACAGAATTGCATAAATATGTCATAATATATATTTATATGCTGTATATGAAGCCCCTAGAACCATAAGAAATGCAAAAAATCCACTGTTAAATAACTCATTCTCAAATTGCCTCCCTTAAAAATCAAATTGCCCCCCTATGGGGGGGTGCCCCTTGTTGGGAACCCCTGCTTTAGAATGAGGGGGGCAAGAGAGTCACCTTGGTGAGAAAACTACCCTCAAGGACTGTGGCCCAGGCCTTTAAAAGGAGCCAGTACCCCACCTGGTGGCAAAACTAAGAAAAGGCTAGAACAGTTAAACCTCCGGGGAAATACTACTTTGATGTTGGAAGAAAAACAAAAAGAAAAGAATCAATTATGAGAGTTCATTAATGTCAAATACAATGTGTAGTAGGGCTCCTGAAATGTTTTTTCCCCCCACAAGAGTGGTCTAGTTCTAGGTGACATAAAAATACTCATGCAAAAAAAGAAAATAATTACGTTCAAAACCATTTCTTTTATGTAGATCTAGTTTGCAAACATGTATGACGATTTGCATTCAAAGAGAAATCCTCTAATAAGTAATATTGATCTCTCTTTTACCCAAAGAGCTACAAAAAAAATCGTATGAGGTCAACATAATCTCTGAAATGAAAGAAAAATGGAAATATTCTCAACTGAGATAGCTAACTCCTGGTGGGATGACTCACTATGGTTTCAAAATATGGAATTTAAATGTCTCCACCATTCTACTAAAAAGCTGTATTCCTAGGATTTTCCCTACCTTTCCTGTAAAAAAAAAGTTTCTTTTGTCTCATATAAATTACTTCTGCTAAAATCAACATTCAATATCAACCTCAATGGAGATAAAGAACAATTAAATATTGGGTTTTGAATTATACTACAGTCTTTAATAAAAACTCCAGCAAAAATTAAAGTATCTTTTATATGAACCCAAGCCACACTACTAAAACCAAAACCAATAATAATAGCTAATATTTAAGCTCTTACTATAATCTAGCCCTGGTTCTAACGTGTTTTACATGTATTAACTTATTGATCCCTCTATTATTATACAAGTTTTACAGATGAGAAAAGCAAGGCACCTAAATTAAGCTAAGTACCCTGCCAAGATCAAATAGCCAGGGGTGGAGCTGGGATTAGAATCTAAGCAGTCTGGCTCTGAAGGCAGTGCTCCTAACCACATACTTTAATAGTAACTGCTTGTGAAAGCCCGCCAGAGTCTGGTCAAAGCACAGCCGGAGGAGATGGTTGGGCAAGAACTGCTCTGTAGGCAGTGCTCAGGATGCTGCAGGCTGGGAAAGGCTTTCTAGCAAAGCGGACACAGCACTGAGACCTGAAGGCAGTAGGGCAGGTAAGGGACCCCCAGGCCGAGGGCACTCACTGGGCTTGCCGATGCAAAAGGGGGAAATGGGGAGCAAGCGATTGGAGGGACCACTGGGAGCTCGGGGAGGCTGGGGACCTGCAGGGGGAAAAAAAAAAGTAAAAAACACTTCGAGGAAGGCCGGAGTCCTCTGATGTCGCCTCATGAAGGCAAAGAGGCATCATCAAGAGATTTTAAACCAGAAAGCGACTAGATGTGCACGTCAGAAAGATAAGTAAGGAGGAATGAGGCCTTGGGGTGAGTAGCAATTTAGAAGATATGCCGGTGAAAGGGAAAGGCAGACCAGTGCTTTGAAATGTACAAGTTTACACTTCACAAACTTTATCAAGAAGGCTGGAGCAGTAATCCTGGCGACTTGGGTGCTCACTAGCTCCCTTGCTCAAGCAAGGATTGGGACCTGAGCCATACGGTTGTTAATGCCATCCACAGAGCTGGGAACACAGAAGAGCAGGCTGGTGGGAAGAGGGAGGTGGGATGGCCAGGCCGCAGAGCTGGCTTTGGAGGCTGCGTGAGGTCCTGTGGGCCATGCAGGGTGCAGGTACAGCGGGCGGCAGGAGCTACAGGTCTGTGCTCCAGTCCCCTGCCTGCACAGGAGGGCCACACCTGGGAGTCAGTGCACTAAAGGGTGACTGCAGGTGGAGGGCACAGCAGGGTGCTTGACCTGGACCCTGGAGAGTGCACAGCACAAGAGGAAAGGGTACAGTTTTTAGGCAAAGGGATTTGGGGACCTCAGACTGAATTCAGGCCCTGGGTGGTGAAAATTTCATTGTAATGTTTATTAACCTCTAAAATTTAACATGTCCTTTCATTACAAATGTAAGCAATAGTCCACAGTAAAACTAGCCAGTCCTGACTTGTCACAAGTAGAAATCAAAGAAATCCTATCACATTACAGTTGTTGCAAATATCTCAAAGTATCATTTCCACTCATGTCCACTTCATAATTACAGTAATTACACCTACCACTTGCTCTTGGTATGTAATGCATTAATAAAGACTCTATATTATAATATTACATTTTTTGGCATATTGATAATTGTCAGTATACTTGGTTTCCTTTGTAATCCTATGCATTCTAATTTTATGCATTTAACATTTTATGCATTAAACATTATTCTAAAAAGGGATTCATTAGCTTCACTAGAATGCCAAGGGGGTTCCATGGCACACACACAGAAATGTAAAGAACATCTGATTTAAGGAGGTAAAGAAAAACCCACAGGAAGATTTTTTAAATGCATTTAGAAAAGGAGGGACCTATGATGAGATGACCCACAATTCAAACCCAGGACTTCTCACTTGTGTTCTTTCCTCCACCAACTCTACATCCTAAAATAGTTAGACCTACCCCTAGCTCTTGATATGTAATCTATATATATAAAGAGCCAGGGTCCATAACAACTGAAGGCTCATAAAGAGCCAGGGTCCATAACAACTGAAGGCTCAACAAAACACAGGAAGTCAGTGCTGGGTTGCCGTGGTGACCCAGCACTGACTGCTGAGGGGCCTGCAGATCAGGTCCGGAGAGAGGCCTACAGAGAAAGAGGCAGGGTCTGATCCACAGCCTCTGTGGCAGCTGTTGATCAGCTGTTGCCTCTCTCTTTCTCTCCCAGCTTCTCCAGCAGCTATGCCTCTGTTTCTCTCCAGGCCTCTGCGGGGGCTGCTAATCAGCCCCGCCTCTTTGATTCAGGCCCAGAGATAGGCCCGGAGACGCTGACTGGCATAGAAACTGACCAATCAGAAACTAATCTGAGTTAAGTGCCAGGAGCCAATGGCTGTCTAGGAGGCAGAGCTTTTGATACTGACTGGCATAGAAACTGACCAATCAGAACCTAATCTGGGTGAACTGTGAAGGCAGAACCTAAGGTGGGGGCTGAGGAGGGGTTTTAAGGGCAATAGCTGTTTGGTGTAAAGTGTAAGAAAGCAGTTTAATTTTTTAATGACTGGTTTGGCAGTATAGTGCATATGGCTGGCTCTCAGTCCAAATATAGGGATTATGTGTTTTTGTCTTCCAAGAGCATCTCCTCCTGCTGAAAAAGGCTCCCCCCCCCCCCCATTTA